GGGGGCGGAGCCAGGCCGCGCTGGCAGTATAAGAGGAACCCCGGGAGGGACACACCAGGAACCCGCTGGTAGGTTCTAGAAAGGGGGCGTGGCAGGAGGCGGAGCCAGGCCGCTCTGGCAGTATAAGAGGGGCCCCGGAAGGGGAGCTCGGGGCTGTCGTGTGGAGCGGGATCTCCGTTGTGCTGCTGCTGGAGTCTTCACCGCCTCGGCGTCGCCAGTCAGCTGTCCTGACTGGGAGCCGTAGTTACCAAGTGTGAACTGTTAAAGCCGTTTAATAAACAGCGTGCCTCCTACTCTGAGTGTCTCTGAGCCCGCCACTACACCATGAAGACTTGAGTGAGAGAGAGGCGAGCTTGGATGTAATACCGACACAAGAAGTAGAAGGGACGATGGGTCGGGAGCGGAGTGGGGGGGGGGGGTCGAGACTAACGACGGAGTGGCAGTCAAAGGAAGGATGGGGGGGGGTGGATGTCCACTGCGGAGATGGAGCGACTAAGATGGGGATCGCGCGGAGGACACGGGGTGGATCTTTCGCGGCGTCGGAGGACTGCGAGGGAGGGATGGGTGTGATACAGGCACGGGGAGGAGGAGGCCATCTTCAATCAGCATTGTGTGTGTGTAGACTTGCTGATATAACACGAAAGTAAGGCGAGAACGTGTTCACATTAAGTCACAGCAACGTCATAAAAGTTTTCAGAGAAGTGTAAGGCACGGACAATTTGATGAACAACACCAACCGGAGTTAAGGCAACAGCCAGGCAGCTGAGCAGCCGGTGCTACAGTACCAACGATTTCCTCGAGCTTTGCAGTCCTCTATATATACAGATGTTTTCAGACAATTAACGATGAGTGTTTGACACACGTGGGGGAGGAAGCCGGAGCGCCCGGAGGAGAGGCACTGCGGAAGCGAGGGGGCAACACGCTATCCCCTTCTTCTCCTTGTTCGTCCATCAAAGTTGATGATGACCATGGCACGTTTGTCATTTTGTTGGGTTTTGATGAGTGCGCAGATGGCTGAAGAGGCCAATCCGAGCCCGGAATTCCCTGTGGCACACTGGACAGGTCAGGGAGGATGTAGAGCTCTGAGGTGCAGCCACACGTCCTTCCTTGGTAGATTTGCGCTGCTGCCTCTTCAAGATGGCACAGGAGCGTCTCCTACTCTCACAGAGGACTCACCGTCCTGTACTTTTCTTCTCCAGGCAGGTCGGTCCTGTGCTAGGGGTTCCCAGCTTTTCAGGTCAAATCCAAAGCTCTTCAAGGAAGCTATCCTCACACAGACTGGGACAGGTGACGTTGGTCCGCACTTTGCCGTGACGCCTTCTCTAAGGTCAGGCTCCTCCTCCTGCACACCCCCACGGCATTTGTGCTGCCATCCACCGACCCTCGCTACTTGCCTCCACAGCGTTGGATTCCAGGCCAGGACATCTTTATATATATAGGATAATTTTTGTTAAAAATAAAAATCGCTACAACAGTGGGGCTCAGATTTGAGCCAAACTAAAGGGTTAGTAGGCTTAGGGGCCGTCCATAAATGACGTCATGCACCTGGGGGGGGGGGGTCAGACATTTGTGACGATGTGTGACAAGGGGGGGTGGGGGTTTGAGAAATGTGACGTCACATCAAAATGCGCAACTTTAAATAAATATAGACAACATGTTATACTTAATTAAATAGACTTTTTAATAAATATTTTCTCCTACAACATCAGTACAGCGCCACATTAAATACGCACTACAATGACAATAGTTTAAAGCGATTTGAAGCATGTTTTATTTTTTGGGGGGTGGAGGGCAGAGCTTTGTGACGTCATATTTGAGGGAGGGGGGTCTGACTTTCTGTGACGCCGTGTGACGATTGGGGGGGGGGGGGCAAAAATCGTTCAAAATCGCGTGACGTCATTTATGGACGGTCCCTTAGGGTACAATTACAACGACGTAAAAAACACTTGGAGGACATTTCCATCGTTTTGCCGAACTAACGGCAGAGGGCGCCTATGGCAAGGTAAGGTCCAAACACTTCGAAGGGGTACCCTAGTTGCGGTGTATAAACATCGCCACTGGGGGAGACAAAGGCGGCCGGGCGTGGTGTTGGCCACCCACTCACCCCCTCGTGTGCCGTGCCGGCCTTCACAGGTGCTACTCGCCAACAGCGCTTGCCTCACACAGTCTGTTAAGGCTGTACCGGGGAGCGGGGGGTGGAGGTCTATGTCTTTGATGTAAGGTCTGTCCCCGTGTTCTTAAAAGGCGTAGTAAGATTTAAAGCTTTCGTGACTGCAGGGATTCATCTTCTTGGTTCATTCGGTAAAGTCACGTAGAAGGGAAATAATAAAATCATAAAAATAAAATTTTTAAATAATTAATTTATTATGGTTTCTTTTTTTTCGCTACAATAACAAAATAAAGTAATAAAAATAAAACATATAAAATAATAATTTAATTATGTTGTATTTTTATAATTTTATTTTATTACTTCCCTTCTACGTGACTTTACCGAAAGAACCAAGAAGAGGCGTAGCAAGGTGTAAAAAAATATGACACAAACAGAGTCCAATATTTGCCCACGAAATTTTCCCGTTCGTGCTCCCACGATGAAATGTGAACGAATTGTTATTTATTGGGCAGGGGGCACGTCGCCATGGCTCGATGGGGGTGTTATGGATGGATGTTTCGAGAATAATGGACGAAGTGGCAGCCAATGATTGGAACGGCCACCGATTTAAGTGAATAGTTGAGCTCAGCTCGCGCGCGGATGATGCTGCCGGGTGGATTGTTACATCGCGAAATCGCGCGAGAGATGCTGGCGGTTTGGGAAGCGAGTCCTTCATCCAGCAGTGGATTTGACCATGGCTGCTTCTTTAACTATTTGTGGCAAAACGATTAAACTCGTCGGTATTTTGCTTGTTATGACATTTTTGTTCGAACAATTAGCAACAATTTTTTTTGGGAAATTGGCCCACCCTCCTTCCATCCAGAAAACACAACGCCCATCCCAAAACAAGACGGTCATAGCGAATTAAATAGAGCCGACTCTAAGCCGGTATCGAGAGACAATGCAAGCACACCAACATCACTGGCGAGCCACGGGCAGATCGGAACCGCGGTTCCTCAAACACAACCGCGACTTTTCACCAACCCTGCGCTGGTCAGGGTGGTGAAGTATGGTTAAAAAAACAAGAATAATCCACTCACGACCTGCAACGGCGCGGGGGAGGCCTTGACACGGCAGGAGGGGGCATCGGAGGTATGAGACTTGGCTCAGAGTCACTTCTACGACACATCTCCATATATAAAAAGGCAAAGTTGTAATTATGTGTGTCTGTTCAAAATGTTTAGCATACTTCCCGACATGCAACAAACTTGAAATTTGCCATGTGGGTACTTTCCAGACTGTACATCATGCAAAAATTATAAAAATACACTTTATTATTTTTTTTTGGGGGGGGAACTCAATAATGCATTTATTTTTTGCACGGCAAGTGAGCTGTGACGTCACATCTGTCACGTGACCTGCGCACGTGGAAGCGTAACGCGTTGTAGTGTAGTGGGTAGCGCTACGCTGCGCTACGAACCCGACGACCCGAGTTCGATTCCCGCTCACGACCACCACCGGTGACGATTATTTGAACCGCTCCTGGGCCCTCCCCTAGGTCGACTCAGCCTCAAGCGAGTAACTGGTGTGTGAACATCGCCACTGGGGAGACAAAGGCGGCCGGGTGTGGTGAATCCAAGTCCCGGGCGAAGCTGGGTAGTACAGCTAGTTCAAGACGAAACTAAAATCCCTGGGAAACATCTGAGTCGGAATTTTCGTCTCCCTTGGACGAGGCGACGTGGATTTTGATGCTGCTGCTGCTGCTGTTGACGATGGAACCTTCACCACGCTGTCGTGCGCACACGTCTGCACTGTGCGTAGGACTTCTTTCGCACCGTACGTAGTCAACCGTGCTAATCGGAAGTGCCACGTGACCAGTAGTGGTCTAGATTGTATTGTAATTATAGTACAAACTAAACTCTGAACTTGTTTTTATTTGACCAGTTAAGGCCCACTGAGCTACTGCAGCTCTTTTTCAAAAGCGACTTGGCCACAAACGAAAGCTCAACGAAGTGGCTTATCATCGTCACGTGGGAATGTAAAACAGCCAAATACTCTAAACGCGCGACGTTGATTCTAAATGCGGAGGGAAAACCCGGAGGACCCGGAGAAAAATCCATGCGACCCCGGGGAGAACATGCAAACTCCAAATACACAGCAGCAGGCGTCAAGGTCGGGATCAAACCCACGACCTCCTGTACACCAGGCGAGGGGGTTAACATCTCCTAGCCACCGTGATGATGATGAGAGAGAGACACGCAAATTCCAAATATACAGCAGCAGGCGTCAAGGTCGGGATCGAACCCACGACCTCCTGTGCACCAGGCGAGGGGGTTAACATCTCCTAGCCACCGTGATGATGATTAGAGAGAGAGACACGCAAACTCCAAATATACAGCAGCGGGCGTCAAGGTCGGGATCGAACCCACGACTTCCTGTGTACCAGGCGACGGCGTTAACATCTCCTCGCCACCACAGCACCAGTACAAACCGAAAACGTCCTAATGATACACAGAGGACCGCGGAGCTTGGGAAATTGTTGATAGAGCCGGCGAACTTATTATTTGTAACACAACCCACCGGCCCAACCAACAAAACCCATGAACATAATCCACCACGTGGAGAGGCGGGATACCTTACGGATGGATCCATATCGCCCTCAGTACCTCGCTTGCTATCGAGCAGTGGATGATGGGCAAAGCGGTGCTAGCAACAATTGTCATCCAGCGGGGGCCGTACCGGTTTGGTTGAACTTGCGGCTTCGGCATCGCTGGCGACCGCCACCAACGTTGGTGGGAGGAGCAAACCCATCATCCTCCTCCTCCTCAAGCCCTTCCCATCCGATGTTGTGGGCGGTTGCCACCAACCCCACTCGGACCCCACTCCCACCCCCCACCTCCTGCCTGCCTGCCTCCGCCGGCTCTTTACTCGCGAAAATAACTTTCAACCCACAGGGTCTCTCACCTCTCGCGCGCACTCCCGGCTCTCTTGGGAGCCCCGGGACGAGTGGCGAGCGACTTGTGCGGATCATCACACGAGGAGGGAAGGGAGTGGGAGGGGGTGGTGGTTTAAAAAAAAGAAGAATCTTTCTTGTGTTAGATCACTGGCGAATTGAATGTTGCATTTGTGTTGTTGTTGTTGGAGCGGGATAAGTCGCGCTGGAGTGGCAGGGCATGACCAGGACAGGAACTGCAGACGGACTGTCCATGAATTCAAGGTAATGTCATGATCATCATCCTCATCCTCGTCGTCATCGCGATGATGTCTCTCTCCACTGCTGGATTTTACGGGGGGGAGGCACGAGCCTCTCACGCGGTCTTGCAATGTGACCATCCATCGAGCCATCTGGAGCATCGTCATCAGCCGTGATTGATCCACTGCTGGATGAAAGCTTCGTTTTTCCAAGCCGTCACCATCTCTCTCTCTCCTCTCTCGTGTTCTCGCTTCGACGCTTTTAATTAACCTGGCACTCTGCGCGCATTCTCTGATTTCATCATCGTAGCTCCATCTAGGGCTGGTTTCCCTTGCCTCATTTGGCCCGACGTGGGGTGTCTATGAGATGTTAACTCCCTCGCCTGGTACACAGGAGGTCGTGGGTTCGACCTCGACCCTGACCCCTGCTGCTGTATATTTGGAGTCTGCGTGTCTCTCTCATCATCATCATCACCACGGTGGCTAGGAGATGTTAACTACCTCGCCCGGTCTACAGGAGGTCGTGGTTTCGAGACGCCTGCTGCTGTATATTTGGAGTTTGCGGTGTCTCTCCCCGGGTTTTCCCTCCACGTTCAGAATCACCGTCTTTGTGTGTTTGGCTTGCTGTGCACTGCCACGTGATGAGAAGCCCACCTCGTTGAGCCGATCATTTATGGCAGCCAGGCCGCATCTGAAAAAACACAGCTACTGTATATATAGTTCAGTGGGGGCCTTACTTGGTAAAATAAAATAAAAATAGTTCATAGTGTAGGTGCCTCCGATCACCCTTACCCAGCTTTAGCAACGTGTCATGCCCCCCCACACCACAGAGCCCCCACTCCCTCATGTTAAACAATTTCGAGGGCTTCTTAGTGATTTATAAGAAACGCGATTGGGCTGGAGCCAGTGGCACTCCGTGGAACGATGTCACGTTCCACGGACATCACTTTTGAGCAGATCGGACACGATCGAGTGATTCGTACGAAGCTAACGTTTCGTGTTACGGGTCCTTCTTTGGAGTCGGCAGTAGTTGTGTATGATCTTGATAAGTGGTTAATTGTCTTCAGTTGTTGTTGTTGTTTGGAAGTGTCATTTGAAGCTGAGCAAGTTGGACTGACTGCTAGACGACACTGGGACCTTACACACAGAGAGACAACGAACCTGCCCCCGTTTCGCCTTAACAGACTGTTGGGGCAATTGCTGTTAGCGAGGTAACACCTAATGAAGGCCGGCACGGCACACGAGGGGGTGGGGGATGAACCGAGTGTAATTATTAACACACCGCACCACGTACTCATTTGAGGCTGAGCAGACCTAAAGGGAGGCCGGTTCAGATAATCGTCGCCGGTGTTGATTTGCCGTGAACGGGAGTCGATCTTGGGGTCACCGGCTTCGTAGCGCGGTGCACTAACATTCCTCGCCATCGCCACACAAAGATCCCCCGTGTAGCCGTAACAGACTGTAGGAGCAAGTGCTGTTAGCGAGCACCTATGAAGGCCAAAACGGTACACGAGGGGGTGGGTGGCCAGCACCACGCCCGACCGCCTTTGTCTCCCCAGTGGCGATTTTTACACACCGCACTGGGTACTCATTTGAGGCTGAGTCGACCTAGGGGAGGCCCAGGACCGGTTTAGATAATCGTCACTGGTGTTGGCCATGAGCGAAAATCGAACCCGGGTCGCCGGGTTCATAGCGCAGCGCGCTAACCGCTGCACCACCGCTCGCCACACACACACACAGAGACACACACACGCGCGCGTGTTGTCCTGTAACAGCCCTTCCTCCACTCCACTGCTGGATGAGCGTGGCGGGTTTACCGTGACCGTACCTCGCCATACGCTTGACACACGCGCTAATTCACGTTTCGCGCACGTCGGCAACAATCTCGCATTTGCACAATACCGTACAGGAGTTTAAACATTCATGTACACACACACATCATCATCATTCATAATAGAGGGTGTTTTTGGGGGGTTCGATCGCGAAAATGTAGAAATGTGTCGTTAAAACCCGCCACCACCCGACACAGCCAACTAGTAAGGGTTGTGACGTAAACAGAACGTGGCCAATTCGTCACTAGTACAGCACTAGTGTGTAGTGTATAGTAATGTAGTGTATAGTGTATAGTAGTGTATTGTGTAGTGTATAGTAGTGTAGTGTATAGTGTAGTATAGTGTATAGTGTAGTGTAGTCTATAGTGTAGTGTATTGTGTAGTGTATAGTAGTGTAGTGTATAGTGTAGTGTATAGAAGTGTAGTGTATAGTAGTGTAGTGTATAGTAGTGTAGTGTATAGTGTAGTGTATTGTGTAGTGTATAGTAGTGTAGTGTATAATAGTGTAGTGTATAGTGTAGTGTATTGTGTAGTGTACAGTGTAGTGTATAGTGTAGTGTATAGTGTAGTGTACAGTGTAGTGTATAGTGTAGTGTATAGTAGTGTAGTGTATTGTGTAGTGTATAGTGTAGTGTAAAGTAGTCTAGTATATAGTAGTGTAGTGTATAGTAATGTAGTGTATAGTAGTGTAGTATATAATAGTGTAGTGTATAGTAGTGTAGTGTATAGTAGTGTATAGTGTAGTGTATAGTGTGGTGTATAGTAGTGTAGTGTATAGTGTAGTGTACTAGTAGAGCAAACCGGTGTGTTGGAGAGCCAAGCCACAACATTTACAATCCGAGTACGACGTTTCACCAGTAATTACAACCAGCTTCATCAGGCGACAGTCAGATATGTGGAGAAGTCCACCTGTTTCGTTCCTGATATTAGATGCGTAGATGTGGTGACCACGCTTCATCCTCATCATCATCATCGACGCTCAACACCGGCGCTTTGTGCCAGGCTGGGTGCACCTTGAGGGCCCACACGTGAAGTGTCGAAGGCTCGCTGCTGACAGGAGGTCACGTGACGGGCCCCCAGGTGGTTTGTGCCATGGGGCTGACTGCCCCAGGCGACCGGCAAATTGCGTCTCTGCGTTTTACCCTCCCCGGCGCTCCGCTCGTTGTTGTGAGCGTCGCTCCTCCCCTTCCACAGAGGCCGATCTTGTGACACCACTGGTAACGTTACCGTTCCATCGGCACATTTGTAAAAGCCACACAGTGCACGGAAATTGGTGTTGGGCAAATATCCCAATACGCGATTGAGTAATCGCCTGCAACATGGTCCCCGACTGCGAAAAACACCCGGCAGGACCCTCTTGAAAAGCGAGTCTTGAGACTTTAGTGTTTTAGTAGAACACAGATCAAGCTGGCAAGGGGGGTCCCATGATGTAGCTGCTCAAACTCCGAGCTCTCAATGTCCTCACAGTGGCATTGCCCTTGTGCCGGTCGCCTTTTGGCGTCGTCCTCTGGTCTAACACCGTTTGAGACGAGGCTCTATAAAAAGCTGTCTCTGGTGTGGACCAATCAGCTTCAAAGACAATGCCATCATAGACTATCAGAGCGTGTTTTTGTCTTTGCATGTTCACGCCTACTTCAGCAGTTTTTTTCTTGCTGTGGTTGTCCCACCTGATGACGATTGCTTGTGTTGCGATCGAAACGTCGTGATCTATTATTTTTCTATCTACGTGACTTTACCGAAAGAACCAAAGAGTAAGTATATGTGGTTAATGCAGGCAGGATTACTTGAAAAGGGATTCAGTTTGGTATATTTAACATCTTAACACAAATATCTCCCCGTAGAGCCTGCAAACAAACCGTTGGGGCAAGTGCTGTTAGCAAGTTAGCACACGAGGGGGTGGGTGGCCAGCACCACGCCCGGCCGCCTTTGTCTCCCCTATACACACCGCACCGGGTACTCGTTCGAGGCCGAGTTGACCTAGGAGAGGCCCAGCACCGGTTGAAGATAATCGTTCCTTGCTGGTGTTGGTGGTCGTGATCGGGAATCGAACTCGGGTGGCCGGGTTCGTCGCGCAGTGCGCTAACCGCTGCGCCACCGCTCCCCCATGTTTACACACAGACAAAGATCCCCCGTGTAGCCTTAACAGACTGTTGGGGCAAGTGCTGTTAGCGAGCACACACACACACGCGCGTTACTTTACACACTCAAAAACATTTACACACTCACATTTACACCTATTCACACACACATCCACACGTGGATTTTTACACGCAAACATTTACACACTCTGCACATCCATTCACACCACGGTAATTAACGACATGTACTCTCACACACACACAAAAGCTACTATTTTACACACACACACTCTCAGTCACAATCATTCAGACATGTGTGTATAATACATACACGTTAATTTACACACACACACGTTGACACAATCCCACACACACACACACGTTGACACGATCTCACACACATACGTTGACACAATCTAACACATACAAACGTTGACACAATCCCACACACACGTGGACACAATCCCACACACACACGTTAACACAATTACACACACACGTTGACACGATCTCTCACACACACACGTTGACACAATCTCACACACACACATTGACACACACACACGTTGACACAATCTCACACACACACGTTGACACAATCCCACACACACACACACGTTGACACAATCCCACACACACACGTTAACACAATCACACACACACGTTGACACGATCTCTCACACACACATGTTGACACAATCCCACACACACACATTGACACACACACACGTTGACACAATTACACACACACACTCTCACACACACGTTGACACAATCCCACACACACACGTTGACACAATTACATACACACACGTACACACACACACGTTGACACAATCCCACACACACACGTTAACACAATCACACACACACGTTGACACGATCTCACACACACACACGTTGACACAATCCCACACACACACACACGTTGACACAATCCCATACACACACACGTTGACACAATCTCACACACACGTTGACACAAACACACACACACACGTTGACACAATCACACACACGTTGACACAATCACACACACACACACGTTGACACAATCCCACACACACACACGTTGACACAATCTCACACACACGTTGACACAAACACACACACACGTTGACACAATCACACACACACACGTTGACACAATCCCACACACACACGTTGACACAATCCCACACACACAGACACGTTGACACAATCCCACACACACACGTTGACACAATTACATACACACACACACGTACACACACACGTTGACACAATCCCACACATACACGTTAACACAATCACACACACACGTTGACACGATCTCTCACACACACACGTTGACACAATCTCACACACACACATTGACACACACACACACGTTGACACAATTACACACACACACACGTTGACACAATCTCACACACACACGTTTACACAATCCCACACACACACACGTTGACACAATCACACACACACACGTTGACACAATCTCACACACACACGTTGACACAATCCCACACACACACACACGTTGACACAATCACACACACACACATGTTGACACAATCTCATACACACACGTTGACACAATCCCACACACACTCACACACACACACACGTTGAGACAATCACACACACACGTTGACACACACACACGTTGACACAATCCCCCACACACACACGTTGACACAATCCCACACACACACACGTTGACACAATCCCACACACACACACGTTGACACAATCTCACACACACGTTGACACAATCTCACACACACACGTTGACACAATCTCACACACACAGGGTACAGTGCACAAACAATCCTCCTCCTGCTGCCCGTGTGTACGGTCGCCTTGAGAACCAGGGAGAGAGAGAGAGTCCTGTTGGCTCACACACACACACCCTCTCCCACACACTCACCTACACTCTCACCCACACACACTCACGCCCTCACCCACACACTCACACACACCCTCTCCCACACACACACACACTCTCACCCACACACTCACCTACACTCTTACCCACACACACTCACACTCTCACCCACACACTCACACACACCCTCTCCCACACACACACACTCTCTCCCACACACTCACGCTCTCTAAACACACTCATCCACACTCTCACCCACACACTCATCCACACTCTCACCCACACACACACACACTCTCACCCACACACTCACGCTCTCTAAACACACTCACCCACACTCTCACACTCTCACACCCACACACTCACGCTCTCACCCACACACACACCCTCTCCCACACACCCACACACTCACCCACACACACACACTCTCACACTCTCACCCACACACTCACACTCTCACACACACTCACGCTCTCTAAACACACTCTTACCCACACACCCACACTCTCACCCACACACTCACGCTCTCACCGACACACACACCCTCTCCCACACACCCACACACTCACCCACACACACACACTCTCACACTCTCACCCACACACTCACACTCTCACACACACTCACGCTCTCTAAACACACTCTTACCCACACACCCACACTCTCACCCACACACACACCCTCTCCCACACACCCACACACTCACCCACACACACACACTCTCACACTCTCACCCACACACTCACACTCTCACCCACACACTCACGCTCTCACCCACACACACACCCTCTCCCACACACCCACACACTCACCCACACACCCACACACTCACACTCTCACACCCACCCACACTCTTACACTCACACACACTCTCACGTTCTCACACACACACTAACCCACACACACACCCACACTCTCACACTCTCACACACACACTCTCACCCACGCCCTCACACTCTCACACTCACCCACACACACACCCACCCTTTCACACTCACACTCTCACTCACATTCTCACACTCACCCACACACTCTCACCCACACTCTCACGCTCTCACACACACTCTCACACTCCTCACCCACCACTCACCCACCACTCACCGCACACCACTCACTCGCCACTCACCCACCACTCACCCACCACTCACCGCACACCACTCACCCACCACTCACCCACCACTAACCCCTCACCCACCACTCACCCACCACTCAGCCATCACCAACCGCACACCACTCACCCAGCACTCACCCACCACTCACCCACCACTCACCGCACACCACTCACCCACCACTCACCCACCACTAACCCCTCACTCACCCACCACTCACCCACCACTAACCCACCACTCACCGCACACCACTCACCCACCACTCACCCACCACTAACCCCTCACTCACCCACCACTCAGCCACCACTCACCCACCACTCACCGCACACCACTCACCCACCACTCACCCACCACTCACCCACCACTAACCCCTCACTCACCCACCACTCACCCACCACTAACCCACCACTCACCGCACACCACTCACCCACCACTCACCCACCACTAACCCCTCACTCACCCACCACTCACCCACCACTCACCCACCACTCACCGCACCCCACTCACCCACCACTAACCCCTTACCCACCACTCACCCACCACTCACCCACCACTAACCCCTCACCCACCACTGACCCAGCACTCACCCACCACAGCTGACAGCAGACAAGCCATCCTTACTCAGTAAGGTGAGACACACACGCCTCTCTGTTGCTTTCCTATAGTTTTGAGGTATTCACACTCACGCACACACTCACACACATATACACACACATACACATACACACACATACACACACATACACACTCACACACATACACACACACATATACACATGCACATATGCACACACACATATATACACACACATATATACATACACTATACATACACACATATACACACACACATATACACACACATACACACACATATACACACACATATACATACACCTATACACACATATACACACACACATATACACACACACACAAAGAGACAAAGATCCCCCGTATAGCCTTAACAGACTGTAGGGGAAAGTGCTGATAGCGAGCACCTATAAAGGCCGGCACGGCACACGATGGGGTGGATGGCCAACACCACCCCCGACCGCCTTTGTCTCCCCAGTGGCGATGTTTACACACCGCACCAGGTACTCATTTGAGGCTGAGTCGACCTAGGGGAGGCCCAGGACCGGTTAAAATAATCGCCACCAGCGTTGGCTGTGAGCGGGAATCGAACCCGCAGCGTAGCGCTGACCGCTACACCACCACTCCAAAGACAAATATGTACAACTCACGGATACTTACACGGGCAGGACAGAACAAATTCCTGCTTCCCAGGTTAATACCCCACGTACACGTCGTGGTGTCTGCGTCGGATCGATGTCGTTTAGACGCGCAGGTAGCCAGGCAGATAGGTCGGTGAGTGGGTATTAAGGTAGGTTGGTAGGCAGGCAGATAGGTCGGTGAGTGGGTATAAAGGTAGGTTGGTAGGCGGGCAGATAGGTCGGTGAGTGGGTATAAAGGTAGGTTGGTAGGCAGGCAGATAGGTCGGTGAGTGGGTATAAAGGTAGGTTGGTAGGCGGGCAGATAGGTCGGTGAGTGGGTATAAAGGTAGGTTGGTAGGCGGGCAGATAGGTCGGTGAGTGGGTATAAAGGTAGGTTGGTAGGCGGGCAGATAGGTCGGTAAGTGGGTATAAAGGTAGGTTGGTAGGCGGGTAGATAGGTCGGTAAGTGGGTATTAAGGTAGGTTGGTAGGCGGGCAGATAGGTCGGTAAGTGGGTATAAAGGTAGGTTGGTAGGCAGGCAGATAGGTCGGTGAGTGGGTATAAAGGTAGGTTGGTAGGCAGGCAGGTAAATATATTGATTGGTGGACAGATAAATATATTGATTGGTGGACAGGTGAATTCGTTGGTTGGGAGACATGCAGACAGATTGGTTGGAAGACAGGTGGAGAGGTTGTTAAGTTGTTGGACGAGGAGATATGTTGGTAGGTAGGTAAATATGGCAGAACGCTTTGTAGTGTTTAATATGAATTCCTCTTGTTGTTTCAGCATCACGAGGTGAGCTCGCCAACACCTTGAAGCGTCCGCTGTGTCTTCGTACAAGTTGAGATGAAGATCAGCCAGGACAAGGGCAAAGAGCTAGTTGGGGAGCTGTTCCTCGCCGACTGAGACGCCAGCTACAGATGTCCACCCGGGTACGGGAGCAGATCTACAACATTTAGTATCAAACGGTGTTTGAGAGACGACTGTTGGATTGAGTTGCTGCGGATTAATGAAAATACTTTTGTCAAGATAATCTCCATTGCTTCGTCCATCGTCTTCCTGAAGACCTGGTGTGCAGACGCCAAGATTTGGCATTCCATCATCTTGCGTTAATTACAAAGCTCCCAAGAGCCTCCTTCCTGCTAACAAATGGAGTGAACGTCACGTCCCCTCCTCACGCCAGGAATCGTACGTTCCTATCTGTTCCGTTTCTTCCCGAGAAAGTCCACCGAAGGCGGCAAGCTACCGGTCCACCTCCAGTTGCGCTCGCCGCTAATGAACCACAACTCTTCGCCGATCTCGTCAAGGAGCGTAGACCGTCACACGAACTCCGGTCGTCGTCGCAAGTGGCTTTCGGCTCGCCGTCGGACAAAGACGGTCGCCGCATCGCACGGCGCTTTCGGATGCGCTTCTGCGGCCGTCTGGAACGCTCTTTCGATATAAGGAAGCCGCCGGAGCTGTGCACTTTCAAATCGAGATTGAAAACTCATTTCCTTAAAGTAGATTTTTCGTGCTTAGTTCGTTGTCCTTCCCCCGCAATCTCCGATTGGCGCCGCCGGCCACGTACGGCGTGAAAGAAGCAGCTCAACGTGCAAACGTGCATTCAGTTACCACGACGGCCAGGCCTCCTCCCGCGAGCAGAAACCCCCCGCGGCCGGGCGATGTGCCAGGGATGAGTTGCGGCGGTGCGAGGGGCCCGGCCGAGGATACGAAGGAGAAGCCGGGGTGGGCGCAATGGGCTGCGGCAACAGCAAAGTCCTTCCCGAGCATCCGCGGGGAGAGGGCGCCGAGCACGCGGTCAAGACGGTGGAGTACACCGGCGTGTCCAAGCACGGCGGCGCCGACCTCCACGCGGTCAAGAACGGCGGCGGCGGCCCCAAGGGTCAGACGGACCGCGTCTCGGCCGCCTCGTCGGGCGGTCAGCGGAGGAACAAGGTGGCCAAGTACCGCGCCAAGTTCGACGGGCGCGTCACCGCCAAGTACGACGTGAAGGCGCTCATCGGCCGCGGCAGCTTCAGCCGCGTGGTGCGCGTGGAGCACCGGGCGACGAGGCAGCCGTACGCCATCAAGATGATCGAGACGAAGGCGAGCGAGGGCCGCGAGGTGTGCGAGTCGGAGCTGGGCGTGCTGCGGCGGGTGCGCCACGGCAACATCGTGCAGCTCATCGAGGTGTTCGAGACGCCCGAGCGGGTCTACATGGTGATGGAGCTGGCCACGGGCGGCGAGCTCTTCGACAGGATCATCAACAAGGGCTCGTTCACCGAGGCGGACGCCACGCGCGCCCTGCAGATGATCCTGGACGGCGTGCGCTACCTGCACAGCCTGGGCATCACGCACCGCGACCTCAAGCCCGAGAACCTGCTGTACTACCACCCGGGCGTGGACTCCAAGATCCTCATCACGGACTTCGGGCTGGCGAGCTCGCGGCGCAAGGGGGACGACTGCACCATGCGCACCACGTGCGGCACGCCCGAGTACATCGCGCCCGAGGTGCTGCTCAGGAAGCCGTACACGAACGCCGTGGACATGTGGGCGCTCGGCGTCATCTCGTACATCCTGCTGAGCGGGGCCATGCCCTTCGAGGACGAGAACAGGACGAGGCTGTACCGGCTCATCCTGCGAGGGCATTACAGCTACGCCGGCGAGGTGAGTCGCTCCGTCCGTCCGTCCGTCCGTGTCCGTGCGTCCAGCCGTTCATTCGGTCATTCGTATATATCCTGCGTTTGTTCAGCGCGGGGGATACCCTCTCGACCCGCGACTTCGTTTCGCAGTCCAGTACCGGCTTCCCCGAACCGCCCGCGCAAGCGACATTTGTGTGTCCCCGTGTCTCTGTGTGAACAAAGCACCGTAGCGCGCGTTCATCGGGTTGACGAGAGCGGTGGGTGGATGGGTGGAGCGGGGAGGCCGGTGGTGTTTTCGAGCTGGCAAACACCCCGCGTTCGTAACGTTGACACGGTGGCTTTGACTGTCACCTGCGCGGGAGGCATCGTCGCGGTGGCAGAGGTGACTGGGATGGGCAGGGAGGGTGGTGGCGGTGGTGGTGGCGCGTGTAGTTTCCCCCCCCCCCGCGCCCGCTGCCAAAGGTTCAGAACTGTAATTGAAATCTTTATTCGGCGCGAGGTAAGGACAGGGGTTCTTCCCCAGCCGTCTTTCGAATTCAGTCATCCGTTCACGTGTTCTATGCGCCGCCGGTGACCAAATCAACGGATGGGGGTGCCCCCCGAGCTCCCGTCACGTCTACTGGACATGTGTGAGAAAGGGCTTTATAGGTCATCGGATTCCTCCAGTATCAATAAATGAACCTTATGGCGGGACCCCGGTCCCATAAGCCTCCGGCTCTCGCATAAACCGCGTTGCGACGTCATTTTATGTGTGTTGAAAGCGAACGACACGGCGATCTGTTCCTCTCGACGAGCTCTACACGATGCGCTAATCAAAGTGTCAAAGTTTTTTTCTTCTGTGCATTCGTCCTCGCTGCTGCGCTTGGACATGACACGACAACAGAATGATCCGCGCCAGGTGGGTCGCGGCGTTTATGTGCGCGGTGGCACGGAGTCGCCAAAAATAAATTCATGAATTTCGTTTTTGACTTCCGTTTATTCGGGACCCCGGGGTCCCACCATAAGAGTCAAATATTCTGATTCTGAGATCTTGCAAAGCTAAGCAGGATTTGGCACCTGGATAGTGCTTTGGGGATGGGTGACAACCACGTTGGGAAGACACATTAAATAATAATAATATTCCAAATATTAAACTGGGTTGTTATTTATAGGCAATGGAATAATTTGTGTAATGAATATTTTCAGGGTCGCTAATTTGACTGGAGTTGGCGGGAGATAGCCACAGTGATAGCTGGCTGAATGTATCCTTGACGTGGTGTTCTGGGTACAGATATATATTGCATGTCGTTTACCGGCACAGACCCGGCTGACATTAATCAGTCTACTACTGGGCTGCTACGTGGTGAGCAGAGCAGCAATGGGGCATTTCAGTAAAATCCATGGTTGTGTTGTACTGTACTTCTATGCTCCCACGTCTATGCTTCGTGCCGTCGCACTGGCCAGCGTGGTGAAGCATGGTCAATTAACCCCTACGACTCGCACGGCGTCAGAACGCCCTCGTCCAGCAGTGGATGATTTCTGATTGATGATGATGGTGGCGGTGGTGGTGGCGGCGGTGGTAACGGCCACTATGGAGACGGAGCATTGAGACCGGTCGCACGTGCAGACGTGAGACGGATTGCGATGTGTGTGCGGAGAGGAATTGATCTAGCAGTGGATAAATAACGTCTCGTGATGATGTAGATGTCGGTCTTGTTTTTCTTTGTTGTTGTACAATGTTTAAAAATTAACCCGTAAAAACAAAGTTTTTCACTATAAATCCTTTATATGCGTGGCATCGGTTTTATTTTATTATTTATTTCTGTTTTTCTTGAGTAAGAGTTTCATTTTAATCACATTGGTATTTTAAATTAAATATGAAAAAAAAATTTTCCTATAAAGTGGAAAATTTTGGAATTTTTTTTTCACGAAAATAAATTGTCACGCACAACGAGTCTGTGTGCAAAATGTCAGCTCGTTTGGATCACGGGAAGTGGGTTAAAAACGACCGAAAGATTTGCACGGTCGTAAGCGCGCAAGCAAGCCAGTGAACTTAATATAAAGGATTTAATAAATAGCTGGCACTTCAAAAGGACCGGTTTTAAGCGAGCCTGACTCTGCCGATGATCAGACACCCAGATCGCGTAAATATAAATAAATTACACGTTTAAAAAATAAAACGACACGTTTATACTTAGATCGCGTGAATACAAATGTCGTTCAAAGACACATTTATACGACACGTTTATATTTAGGCGATCTAACCCCCCCCCCCCCTTCTTATGGATAATATTGTTCGCGAAAGCCTCCTGCGTGTTAAACCGAGACACCGAATGTTCAACGACCGGTTCTGGAGTTTTCTTGCATCGGATCAAATGAGTTGTAATCACGCGCTTCCGCAGAAGGCCGTGGTGGATGATGGGATGTGGGTAAAAAAGAAAAGCATTGATACATTTTTTCCCCCTGTCATCTGGAAGTGACACATTTAGGTGATGGATGGAAGAGGCCCTGTTTGCCTGCTTATTGTTCATTCAGTTAAATGTATACGCTGGAGTCCGTAGCTAACCAGGTGACGTCTATCCGTCACGGGTTGCGTGAACGCCAGGTGAACGCCAGGTAGACACGCCAGGTAACACGCCAGGTAACACGCCAGGTAAACACCTGGAAATGCAACGTTAAGGGTGGGGAAGTGGAGAGAGGGTTGTGACGGTGGGGGGGGGGGGGCTAATGTTTGCATTAGGTCCCACGGCAAAGCCCATCCATCCGTCCGTCCCACGAACTCTACAGCTCCCGGATAAAACGTCCCGAATTTTCACCTTTTTTTCAAGAATCCGGCGTGCGGGTGACGTGTTGCGCGACAGTGATGGATGAGCGTTCGAAATGGCGCGGGGCTGTGACCCCAACGCGTTTTACGCTATCCTCGTGTTTTGGTCACCAAGCCACCAACCACCTCCCCCCGCCCCCTTCGGACCCCTCCAACCCCCCCCCCCCCAACTTTAATCGCTCCTCGCATATTTCATGAACGCGTGGCGAGTGACTGTGAACTAATTAATGCTTCAGTAGCGCCGCAAGCGGCTGGCGGCGGGGGGCACCGTCGTGAACCCACGGCGACCTGTGTTCGATTCCCACCCACCGGCTATCATCATCATCATCGGCAGCGGAGGCGGAGATTCATACTTCGGAACCGGTCCTTGATGACCCCCCCCCTTACCCCCTTCACCAACTCCGCACTGACCAGCGTGGTGAAGTATGGTCAAACGACCCCCATTGACCGACACTGCGTGGAGGGGGGGGGGGGAGGCCCCTATCCGGCCGTGCGTTTGGCAATGGGCTGCGCGTTTTTATTCACGGCTGTACGTGACAATTCATCGCCTTTGTCGCACGTTGGCGAGTTGATAAAACTGTCAAGGTTCCAGGGGCTAAGGATGCGATGCAAACATTCTTGATCTCATATTCTTGGTTCTTTCGGTAAAGTCACGTAGAAGTGAAGTAATAAAATAATAAAAATAAAACATGATAAAATAAAATTATCACGACATTCTTCATCTTCTTGGTTCTTTCGGTAAAGTCACGTAGAATGGAAATAATAAAATAATAATAAAAATAATAAAAATAATAAAACATAATAAAACATAATAAAATTATTCTCACGATGTTTTGGCCACAACGCAAGCAGCCGTCCTCAGGTGAAGAACTTCACGTTTTGGCCACAACGCAAGCAGCCGTCCTCAGGTGAAGTTCTTCGGCCACAACGCAAGCAGCCGTCCTCAGGTGAAGTTCTTCACCTGAGGACGGCTGCTTGCGTTGTGGCCGAAGTTCTTCACCTGAGGACGGCTGCTTGCGTTGTGGCCGAAGAACTTCACCTGAGGACGGCTGCTTGCGTTGTGGCCGAAACGTCGTGAGAATTATTTTATTGTGTTTTATTTTTATTATTTTATTATTTCCATTCTACGTGACTTTACCGAAAGAACCAAGAAGATGAATCCCTGCAGTCACGAAAGCTTTAAATCGAAAAAGTGAGCAAGGTTGTTATTATTCTTCTTCTTCTAAGGGCTTGGGCGGAAAGAGACGATGATGGGAGCAGGGAATTCCACAGTGGAGCCGTGCAAGGCAAGAAGCAGAACGATTATTCTTGTGACCTGCAGTGTGGTGAGTGGCTTAGGTGAGTCAGTGAGTGTGTTGTGACCTCCTGGGCCTCCCCTACGTCGACTCGGCCTCAGATGAGTACCTGGCGTGCTGTGTAAACATCGCCACTAGGGAGACAAAGGCGGCCAGGCGTGGTGCTGGCCACCAAACTCCTCGTGTGCCGTTCCAGCCATCATAGTTGCTACTCGCTAACAGCACTTGCCCCAAAACTGTCTGTTCAAGGCTATCCGGGGGACCTTTGTCTTCCTTGTGACCTTGCAGCGTGGCGAGTGGGTGAGTGAATGTGTTGTTGTGACCTGCATGCATTACGGCGGCTGATTGTGTGTGCGAGTGAATGGGTGGGTCGGTGAGTGGGTGGGTGGGCGCGTGTCGTGACCTGCCGATTGGCCAACAGCAGCGTTACCCGTCTCTACTGCTGGTGCATCAGGTGTGGTGGTGGTGGGGCGGGAGATGGGGGACGGACTCGAACCTGGGTCAACAGGTCCCGTGCCGCACTATAACCATTACGCCAGTGTGGCAGCTCCCTTGTACTCTTCAGCCAGCGTCAGCCTTGGCTAGGAATCGAACCTGGGCGGCCGGGTTCCCGTGTCGCGAAGCGGAGAAGCCACACGGGGTGGATTTTGCGATGAACTGCGATGAATCAGTAATTCTGTCAAGCAACCCACAACCGCTCGACACAGAAGCGCGTGAGCTGCAGTCGTGGTGGCGGCCGTGGCGGTGGAGGCAAGGATTGGTATTTCAAAACAAAGCGAAGACGGCGATGCCCTGCAGAAAGAGACCCTTTGTGTCCGGGAGTCTTGTGTGACGTCTGTCCAACGTAATGCATACCATCGCGTGTGTCGTCGCTACTTATAGTTCTCAAACAAAAAAGCAAAACCACCACTTCCCCCCCACCCCTCC